CCCCCCCCCATGGGTAGTGGGTATTTATAGAAACAGATATGCGTTAGGGACAGCCAGGCCGGTCTGCCTGGAAAACCGATCCCCCAAAGAGCCTCCCAGGCCTGGCTCCAGCCGGCAGGAGCATCGCCAGTTGTCCCCCGCGTGTGTAAGCATGTTTTATGAGTGCTACAGGTTTGAGCACAGAAGAAATTGTAATTAACATTAGTAAAAATAAGAGCCTCAACAGTAGTCAAAACAAAACAAGCCAATCCTGTAGGATTCAGCCCTTGGATACTATTCAAAAGGAAAGGCCTGGCGTGCCTTTTAGAAAGAGGCACCAAACAGGTGCTGGGTCCCTCAGAGGGCTCAGAGGGAGGGGAGAGAAGGCTGGCCTCCACTTCAGCATGGACCTCTCAGCTCTCAGGGATGGATGGCCCTTGGATAGCAGCGGCCAGCCGAGAGGTGGTGTGTCCATGGAGAACTGATGGTATGGGTAGTCTTTTTTTTTGGTTTGATCTTCCAGAGGTGGTTCTGTTGGGGGGGGGGGGTAATTGTTGGAGATGCAGTTTTGTTTGCCAAGTGAAAATTGGGTAGAAAAGACCATTACTAGCGCATAGGGGAGCATCTTTGGAAGTCATGTGTTATGGGGAGATGGGGTTATCAGAGGAGAATTGGTGAGGGATGTCAGCTGTAGCTGAGTGCTGGATCTGGAGCATGCAAGTTTCATAGCATTTTGCTTTTCCCTTTTGGGTGTCCCAGTTTCCTGCCATGTCTAGTCCTGGGGCCAGGCATTCACTGCACAAAAGTGCACTGACAGTCTGTGTTCTGTGGGCAGTGGTCCCTCAGTGGGGGATGTGTGGTTCTGTACGTTACCATTCGGTGTTCTTGTCATAGTGACGTTTTGGTTATGAAACTGCCATTGGTTTTAGGGGTTTGGTTTTTTTTGTTTGTTTGCCTTGGAATCACTTGACGTTTGAAAAGTAGAATAACATCCAGTTTCTTTTTTCCCTGTGTTGATGTAATCACATGACATGGTGTGAACTAGGAAAGAAGTATTTGGTTTGTTTCTGGATTCCAGTGTTGTGAGGATTGGCTTTACTTGGTCAGTCTCTTTGCAGTTGGAATATACAATGAGATCAGAGAAGGAATCCAGTCTGTGGTACACCAGACCAGAGGAGGTGTGACCCTGCTTCTCATGATGAAGGCCTGTATTTTGCTGTGGCTTATGCTTTATTTATTTGTGTTTAACTTAAGTGTAAACTTAGGCATGCTGTTAATGATTAGATGCTTGGTTTTGAAAGTGTGAATTTGAGTTTTGATTTCATTTTGTGTAATATTGTAGAGTTCATACTACAGGAAAGTTTAAAAGAACCACAGAGTTTATTTGGTTCTACTCCTTGAGTTTACAGGTGAGGAAACAGACTCAGACTAGTCAACTGGTCTGGTCAGGATTCCCTAGCCAGCTCAGGTCTGGGCTGGAGTGAAAGAGCTCACCCTCCCTAAGGGAACTTTAATACACTGTTGGACAGGAAATTGTATTATGTTCGTTATAAATGCAAGAACCTTTGCACATCCATGTTCCTAGGTGTCTGTCAAGTTTTTATAAAGTTTTTAGTTTTTAGTTGCAAAGTAATTCCACCCAGCAAGAACTTTTAGAATGAATGGGAAAAAAGCGCATCAAGGACAGGAAAATGGTCTTGTCATAGGCACTTGCACACACTTGCCTTTGTAAATGAAATAGTAGATGGGTCAATAAATGGTTATAAAGATTCTGAACTTTGGAACTTAACTATGCTATTGCCCCTTTGTTTTCCCTAGTCATTTAGTTTATTTCTATTTGTCCTAAAAGTTTACCCAGTAACTATCTTAATTCCTGTTAGCATTTTTCTTTTAATGTTGTATGGGAGATATTAATATATGTATTTTTAATTTCAAAATACTAATTTGTATTACTTTCATAACTTTTATTGTTTAAAGCACTCTGCAGTTACCAGTTTTACCTTTATAAAATAATTGGAATTAAAAAAACAATTAAACTTTACGTTTAAAAAGTAGTAATATGAGGGCGGCACCTGTGGCTCAGTGAGTAGGGCACTGGCCCCCTATACTGAGGGTGGTGGGTTCAAACCTGTCTCCAGCTGAATTGCAACCAAAAAATAGCTGGGCGTTGTGGCGGGCACCTGTAGTCCCAGCTACTTGGGAGGCTGAGACAAGAGAATCACTTAAGCCCAGGAGTTGGAGTTTGCTGTGAGCTATGACGCTACGGCACTCTACTGAGGGCAACAAAGTGAGACTCTACAAAAAAAAAAAAAAAGTAACATGTAGAAGAAGAAAAAGTAGGCACTGGCCTCAGGGCCACACAGATGGTCAGCGTGTTTGAGGAGGAGCTGCATCCGGCCTTCTTGGGCTCAGTTGTGCTCCAGACACTGCACAACATTTCCAGGGTGACCTCAGAGCAGTTTCAAAACGCCCAGAAATGTTAGCACAGTGAAATATCTGCTGTTTGCCTGTTTTTTTTTTTCTTTCTTGGATTAAAACTACCAAACTGGTTAGACTATTATTATTATATGATTTTTGATACCTCTTGATTTTCACCTATAAATTGGAGGCATTTTAATCCTGTTTATTCAGTGTGTATATTTCAGTGTGTGCACTGCTGGACACTGGCAAGCAGGGGTAGGCCTTGATCTCAGAGTTCAGAGGCTGGGCAGGAGGGAGAGGTTTTTAATGTTTATGATGCAGTCCTGGAAGATGTATTCTGGAAATGTTTTCTAGTCTGTCTCACCATGTCTCAGTTAATTTTACTTCAAAGTTGAGTTGTGACTTTAGAGTCCTACCCTGTTTGAAACTTAAAGTCCTCTTTTACTAGAAACTCTCAAATGAATTTCTGGAAAACTTTTAAGATTCTAAGAGTTGTTTTTGGTATTTAGTTGCCATACTACTACAAGTATTTTATAACTGGCTGCCCTTTGCCTAATGTCTTGTAAACACATCAGCAGAGAGTTGGGTGCAAAGGAACGTTCCCTAATTACCTGGTATTGACTTGATGTTTTCTTAGGAAGGTACAAAATTTAGTTTTCATGAGTAACTGTAAGAGAGGCAAGAGTTAACAGGATCTTGTTGATATGTGTTGTCTCATTCAACAGGCATTTATTGAATACTTACTATATACCTGAATTTATATTATTAGGGAGTTAGAAAGATAAGTGGTGACTCCACCCTGGAATTGCTCACAGCCAGGCGGGTGCATCTGATGGTAAAACAATTACAGTAAAATGAGATCTGTTCTGTAGCAGGGTTCTCTGAGTACACACATAGCTGTCGAGTAAGTCAGGGAAGGTATCACAGAGAAGGTGAGATTTGAACCAGACTATGAAGGGTGAGTAGGAGAGATCACCTAGATTTGGGAATGAAGGAGGCTCCAGGCAGCATGTGGAGAGGGCTGAGTCTATGCGGAGTCCCTTATACATGTTGCCTTATTGAATCCTTCTGATAGCTGTAATCAAGTAACTTTGTTACCTTCTTTTTGTGGACAAGGACACCTAGCTTCAGAGAGATTAAGTGAATTGCCCAGGGTCACACAGTGAGTAGTAGTAAATGTCAGAGCTGGTTCATTGTCTGTGTCCTAACCTCTGTGAAACATGACCTTATGAAAAGCAGAGGAGCATGGAAACCTGGCATGTCCAGAGGTCCTGGGGACACTGGTCTTGTTCCTCTTGGAAGATTGCCAGTGGCAGATGAGGCCAGAAGGCCTCACACCACTTAGCCTCTACATTTTAGAACTTCATGTTCTTGCTGGTGGAGTCTTACGTTAGCTGTGGGAATGGTTCCAGCCTTGGGCCTCAAGAAAAGCAAGAGCAGTCTCAGATTGACACTTGTAAATGGCAACTCTAGAGCTCTGTGGAGAGAGATTTGAGTAAACTCCATGCTTAAAAGCAAGGGAGCACGTTAGGAGGCCTCCTCAGCTGTCTGGTGAAAGAAGCAGGAGTGGTGGGTGAGGCTGTATGGATGAAAAGGGCATGGGTTGGTCACAGCGACGCTTTGTGGTGGTTTGAGGAGTGGAGGGAGATGCTGGAAGGGCTCTCCAGGTGTGCAGTGCCATGATTCCTGGACATCACATCCTCGGTGATGGTGTGCAGTTGAGGATTATGGGATGAAGAAACAGTTTGGATAGAAGAATCATGAGTTGAATTTGAGCTGCCCCTGGCAGAGGGAACTGATGGGCAGGTAGACAGGTGTTATCTTGAGCTCAGGAGATGCAGATTTGGTGGGGCTGAGCTTGAGGAGCAGGTGTGCAGGAAGTAGCCCGTGAGTGGTTCAAAGCTTTGCTGTGGTCAGGATCAACCAGGCGGGTTATAGGAGTGAGGAACCAAGGGAACGGAGGCTTGAACTTTGGAGAGCTCTTGCCCCCACCTACGGGGAGGTGAACTTGTAGTTGACAGTGCAGCGGAGACCAAGAGAAGGCAGTGGAGAGGGGTGGTGTAGTTTATTAGCAAACTCTTTAGTTCTCATCACTAAAACCTTTGTGGTTAAGTTTCAAATTATGCAAAACATAAAATTTGTTGTACCAAACATTGACTTGAGTTTCTAGTACTCAGAAAGTTTTCCTTTGCTATCTTTTAAGGAATCTTTAAAGCCCGAAGGTAAGTTTTTCTCTGTAATGAAACTTTATGCTTTTTATAGCATGTACACAGGTAATGTGGATTTTTCTCCTGAAATAGCACCATCCTGCCCTGAAGAGAATGATTCTGTAGGGGAGATATATTTTGAAATCCAGGTCCCTTTATTCCCTTGTGTTTGAAAGACCACAGTGAAAAAGAGAGGTTGCAGAGAGGAAGAAAAGAAATGGACAGGCCTGTACTATTTTTATATGTGCCCAGGACTTTCTGCTGGAGTGCCTTGCTTTGGGCATAGAATGAGGGTGAAATGACCTGGCTGCCTTACAGAATAGAAGGTCTCCTGGTACGGGCTATCATCTATGAGTTTAACAAAGAGCTCAACTAGAAGTCTTCTACGAGTCTAAGAAATAAAATCTCTGAATCTGGGAAGTCATGGTCAGGCCCAAACACTAGCTTCTGCTTCATTTTAGAAGCAAGCAGAGAGGAAGCTCACTCCATATGCAATCATTTTCCATGCTAGGTGTCACTTGAAGAAAATGTGGAGGTCTTGGTCTGTAGTAAGAAGGACATAGAACTTCATTTTATAATCTAGGTTTCCCAAATCCTTTCTCAAATTACGATGTTACATCTACAGAGTTCTTCTATTCTTTCAGTAGTATATGAGGCCCAAAACATAAAATTTAGACGATAACAGAAACTATGCTGGTGGCAAAGAACTTCAGTTGAGTGATGGTAAGTTCCCAGAGGGCAGGGACTCAGCCCCTTTGGTGGCCAGTCCTCTGTTAATAGCTGCTGAAGGATGGGATGGACTGTGAATGACATTGGTCTTCAGGGTGCCATGGAGTTTCACTTACCAGGCAGCTTTAAGACTTACGGATATCTGAGGCTGGTCCTCTCCCACCCCTTAATTTTTAGCAGTGAGTGAGAGTGCTTGAAAAGATTCTTAGTAGAGGGTTGGGGCCTTTTACACCCATCTTAGGTTGCTTAAACAGAACCTTAAACAGAAATTGCTTCTCTGGATTCCTTGCTGGCAAGCTGAGTAGCCCAGCAGCACATCTTAAGAAATCCCAACCATCGACCAACGGAAGGCCCAAAATGCTGTTGTTGCTTGGTTTGTTGGGCTGAATGGCCTTAAATGGTCATCACAGTCTCTACTCGTGTAGAGTCTTAGGTGCTTATACTTTTTATGCATGCTGTTTCATTTTTATATCAAGTATGGATTGAGTGGGAGACCTGTGATGTGGCAGGCCCTGTGTTAAACATTAGGTGTAGAATGATGAACAGGAAAGATACGGTCTCGCTGTCTGTGGGGAACTCTGAACAGTGTGGCCAGTCTCTCACCTGTTAGATGGGGCATTTATGGCCCTTTGCCAAGGCCTCAGAGTTTCGCGGCCCTGCTAGCCCCTGATATTTTTCCCTTTGCCCTGTCAGAGCCCATCAGAGCCCTGACAGCTTCAGACCCACTCTCCCTGTGGGTGCACTCATCAGGCCCCTCCTGGGTGCCCAGCTTTCCATTTAGTAAAGCTGATTCTGGCTGTGAAGTCAAACCAAATCAGATTTTGTAAAGGTGGCGTGTAAGAGATGGAGACGTATAAAACACTTGGTTTGAACAGACATGCCTCTTCGATTATGTTTATTTTTCCTGTCTGAATTCCAGATTGGTAGCAGCAAGCACTCAGCGAATGACCACCTGCATGTCGGCGGCCACGCTCACGGGCAGATCCAGGTGCAGCAGCTGTTTGAGGATAACAGTAACAAGCGGACTGTGCTCACGACGCAGCCGAATGGGCTGACAGCTGTGGGCAGGACAGGCTTGCCAGTGGGCACAGAGCGGCAGCTGGACGGCATTCACAGACGGCAGGGGAGCTCTACCTCTCTGAAGTCCATGGAGGGCATGGGGAAGGTGAAAGCCACCCCCATGACGCCTGAACAGGCGATGAAGCAATACATGCAAAAACTAACGGCCTTTGAGCACCATGAGATTTTCAGCTACCCTGAAGTGTATTTCTTGGGTCCAAATGCAAAGAAGCGCCAGGGCATGACAGGTGGACCCAACAATGGTGGCTATGACGATGACCAGGGATCGTATGTGCAGGTGCCCCACGACCACGTGGCTTACAGGTACGAGGTCCTCAAGGTCATCGGCAAGGGGAGCTTTGGGCAGGTGGTCAAGGCCTATGACCACAAAGTCCACCAGCACGTGGCCCTGAAGATGGTGCGGAACGAGAAGCGCTTCCACCGGCAGGCGGCGGAGGAGATCCGGATCCTGGAACACCTGCGGAAGCAGGACAAGGACAACACCATGAATGTCATCCACATGCTGGAGAACTTCACCTTCCGCAACCACATCTGCATGACCTTCGAGCTGCTGAGCATGAACCTCTACGAACTCATCAAGAAGAACAAGTTCCAGGGCTTCAGCCTGCCTTTGGTGCGCAAGTTCGCCCACTCAATTTTGCAGTGCTTGGATGCCTTGCACAAAAACAGAATAATTCACTGTGACCTCAAGCCCGAGAACATTTTGTTAAAGCAGCAGGGTAGAAGTGGTATTAAAGTGATCGATTTTGGCTCCAGTTGTTACGAGCATCAACGTGTCTATACGTACATCCAGTCACGTTTTTACCGGGCTCCAGAAGTGATCCTTGGGGCCAGGTATGGTATGCCCATTGATATGTGGAGCTTGGGTTGCATTTTAGCAGAGCTCCTGACAGGTTACCCCCTCTTACCTGGGGAAGACGAAGGGGACCAGCTGGCTTGCATGATCGAACTGTTAGGCATGCCCTCCCAGAAACTGTTGGATACAGCCAAAAGAGCCAAAAATTTTGTGAGCTCTAAGGGTTATCCCCGTTACTGCACTGTCACAACTCTCTCAGATGGCTCTGTGGTTCTGAATGGAGGCCGGTCCCGGAGGGGGAAAATGAGGGGACCCCCTGAGAGCAGAGAGTGGGGGAATGCACTGAAGGGGTGTGACGACCCCCTTTTCCTCGACTTCTTAAAACAGTGTTTAGAATGGGATCCCGCAGTGCGCATGACCCCCGGCCAGGCTCTGCGGCACCCTTGGCTGAGGAGGCGCTTGCCAAAGCCTCCCGCCGGGGAGAAGACCTCAATGAAAAGGGTCACGGAGAGCACCGGTGCTATCACGTCTATTTCCAAGTTACCTCCACCTTCCAGCTCAGCTTCCAAACTGAGGACTAATTTGGCACAAATGACAGATGCCAATGGGAATATTCAGCAGAGGACAGTGTTGCCAAAACTGGTTAGCTGAGCTCCAGTCCCTTGATGCTGGTAATCTGAAAGACATGACATTGCTAAGCCTTACTGGGTTGAAAAGGCATAGCTCAGACCTGTTTTTATTTGCTCAATAACTCTACTCATTTGTATCTGTTCAGCACTTAATTTTAATGTAAGAAAGTTGTTCATTTTGTTTTTATAAAATACATGAGGACAATGCTTTTACACTTTCTGAAACTTTTTGTGTTCTGACAGTATGATGAGCCTTACTATATTCAGTGTGGTAGAAGAATGGCATCCATGGCAGGCCATTGACTCCTTCACGACTGCCACGTAGTGACAGATTGGTGTCAGAGACATTATCACGATTGCATTTTCCTGGTTTTGTCACACTCCCAGGGCGAGAGCCCACGTCCCCTCCTCTCTCCATTCACAGGTCCACGCATGGGGTTGCGTGTCCTACTTTCATTGTTTCGTAGGTTAATCTGGGAGGTGGTGGTGGTGCTGGGAGGAGAGTGGTCAGGACAGAAGTGATATTCTAAGAAAACTACACCTTAAGGAGAATTTTTTTTCTCTGGTGCTCAAACAAATACAAAATGGGAGTCCCAAGATTTAAATCGCTGGGTTAGCATCCTGACATTCTGAAAGCATGCAAAGCAGCTTTTTGTGGGTAAATGGAGATGGAAGCATGCATTCCTCCAGATTCCCTAGTATGATCAGCAGGCTGTTTTGTAAAGAAGCCTCATATGACAGAATTGGTTTTGCACATAAATCTAGAAAGGTATTCCAGGAACAGCCCCACCCTGCTCTTGGCTGTTTCCCTCTGTATTTCTGTTTGACCAGACATCTGCTGCTTGCATCGGGGTCACCTTCTTCCTTCAGCTACATGTCCCAGACTATTCATACAGCAAAGAGACATGTCAGCTGTGATTATGACCATTTCATATTCCAATTTTAAAAAGGACAGCAGCCTAGCTACTTAAGGTGGGGATTTCCATTGTCCCAAAGAAAATTTAGCAGGTCAGAGTGAGTTCACACTTTTCAGGTGCCACTTAAGGTTCTCTTTGCCTGGGAAAGTATCAACTTTTGTAAAGGAGGAGGGTTTAAAATCCTCTTGATGAATGGAAGTCATGGCTGTTTAGTAAGGCCAATATTAACAACATTTAAAGGAGGAAAAATTCAACCTCAAGTTAAATGGTTTGACTTATTCTTTATATTGTTGGAAGAATCACAGAAATCGCATTCCTCAATTTTGTTTTACTTTCTTTTGGATTGCACTGATTGCTTCTGTGGGAATGACACTTTACCTTGGAAAAGTAACTGAGACTTAGGTAAAAGAATATTTTCTTCTCTAAATAGTAATTATTTTCACAGTGAAAATTTCAGTATTTTATCACTAATGTATAAGCAGTGATATATTACAATTTCAAGGCACGAGGAAAAATTTTTTGGTATGTGCAATTTAATATAGAAAGATTTCTGCCTGTTTGGACAGTAGGTTTTGAGTAGTACAAATTAGGATAAATAATCTTTTATATGCACAGATGTTATTGTATTGCCTGTAAATTGATTTTACAAGTACTTAAAGCATGGTCCTAGTGAGGCCAAGAAGGTTTCCAGTTAAGTTCTTTGAATATTAATCCTACAGTTTCTCTTACTTTAAAAAAAAAAAAGTAGTTTTGAACAAAACACTTTACTATCTTGAGGCTTTGTTGGTTGATGGTGGAAAAAAATGCTCAGGAAATATTTCAGATATTTGCCAAAAACAGTAATAAGATTAGCTTATTAATAAGAGAGTGATACTAATATTTGCTTTACTATTTAAGGGTGGATGTCACAGATAATTTGTACTTCTCTCTGTATTTAGAAATTATAGCTTCTTTCCCCTAGTCAAATTCTTTACCTTACTGTACACCTTTCTGTGTAATCTGTGGAAGTGCAATAATGATAGTAAATTACCTTTCAAATGATGCCCATGTGACAATACCCCTAATCAGTGGCTTATAGAATTTAAAGATTTGTGTATTTATTAAGATTTTGGCTTAAAGGCATGAGAAGTATAAGACTTGGTTTGGTGGCTTTGTAAGACCATGAGCCTCTTACTGACGGTTAGCCTCTTCAGGTCATTAAAATAAAAACATAAAAGCTATTACATTTTCCCCCTCATAATGCTCTTCTTTCAGTCCCACTCATCTTCACATTTGAGTTTAAATATGTGAGCCTACCATTATTAATTTCTTATAAAGCGATTAAACATTTGAAAATTTACAAATGGACTAATATTGCTTGTCTTGCCCCCCATAAAACTGGGTTTCCGATGCCAGCCTGCATTTGTTGACTACTTTTATTCACAAATGCAATTGGAAACTTTGTAGCCGAACCTTAATGTGCAAGTGCTATGGCCTTTCATTTGTCCCAATAGAGTGAAATTATTTTATTCACAAAAGCCACCACGTTTCAGTGTTCAGTGATAAAACTGCTTTTAAAAAATTTTAGCTTAATGTCAAAAAAAGAAAATGTTGCATCTTGGTGATTTTAAAGCATGAAGGAAGGGCTCTGACAGGCTGCTTGGCGTTGGCTTGGAAACAGGCTTTGGTCTTATGGGTCACCATCGTCTAGGGACGTCTGAGCTGTTTCCAGACTTGGGAATAGCACCTGTTGTCTTGTCTCTGGTTGCAGTCTCATTAGGCTCTGCCTTGCCCCACTGGAGTGTTGGTTACCACAGCTATATTGCCACCGCAGTGGAGTCCCGGGTGGTGCAGGCAGAGCGGCAGCAGAGGGAACCTGTGCCCTTAGCGTTAACAATGTGCCTTCTGTTCTGAATGCCGTGTTGTAGGGCATGCATTTTTTGGCCCTTTAATTCTTTGAATACTAGTTGGTAAGGGTGGAACCCACCTCTGCAAAGATACATCTGTTTTAAATACCTAGTTACAGGCCTTAACAGAAACCATGAGGTGTGACTCGTAAGGCACTGACACAAGACGCCCAACCGCCGGTTAGTTACACAGGGACTCCTGTGTCTAAGGGGTTGAAGATGGTCTTTCTTGTATCTTAACATCAGACTGACTTTTAAATGGTATTTTTTTTTTGTTATGCTAACAGTAGACAAAAATCAACTGTATTTGTAAAAATTTACCTCAAACCATTTAATTTTATAGTGTGATTAATCCCAGGGCATTTGGTATGAACCAAAGTGCATTCCTTTTCTATGTGCCTGGCTCTAGTAAGGACAGCCAGGGATTTTTACAATTTGGGTGCAAGGCACTTAAGCCACTTTCACACTTACTGGGTGGTGTGGAGTCGGGAACTTGACTCCTTCAGAGCACTAGCGCACTGCAGGCATCAGTAGCATTGGGCCATATTGGAATCTTAAATAAAAGTGTGAATTATTTTAAAGAGAGCATTCATTTTTGTAATTTTTTTCATCAAGAATATTTCTGGTAAACAGAAAACTTTTTTAAAAACTGATTTGGTTGGTAAAGGTTTTAATATTGCCCAACATAATGCTGTGGTAGCATTTAAAAAAAAGGTATTTGTGAACTCTTTGTTTCTTAGGGGCTTGCACATCTCTCTGCTATGGACATACATAAAACTAATTGTAATTATACTCAGCTCAACTGCTGCACTGTCTGGGCAGTGGCTTGAGTTTTTAATTGAGCTACAACTTAGACACGTGTCTGATATGCTGCAACTGTGTGTACTGAATATATGTGAAATGGTTGAATGTGGACTGTGTATATACGTTTGTAAAAACCTCTGTGAGATGCTGCTGTCGCCACTTAACATAGAACATGTTCTAGTGGATTTTAATCCTAGTGGCCAGTTCTATGATACTGTATGTATTGTACAGCTGATGACAGGAGTAAGACTGTTTAGTGAATATTTGTTAAATTTTATTGTTGTGGCCAGAGATAATTTCAGAATAAAATTTTAATGTCCTACCTTACCTTTTCTCCCCTTTTCTAACTGTAATTTAACTCCTGTTCTATTTCTGGTATTATTCTTGGACTGTTACCCTAGAAGGTTTAGAATGCGAAATAGATAGCTCTATATCAATGTCTAGAGAAGTTAAAATAATTCATTCTACTAGTTAGTTCATCAGCAATGAATTCAGTAGTTCAGTATAAATATATAGATTTCAAGTTGGAAAGACTACAATTTTAGTAGGCAACTCTTGTTTTCCTCGAAATACTCTATTCCTTTACCTTTAATATTTTTATGTTGATTTTTCTCTAGATGGCCTCTTCTGCCATTTCTTCATCATGCTAGAGCTTCTTATCTTTTTTGTGGTAACCTTCAAGGTGGTACTTAAGCCGTGGGAGGGACTATCAGCTGTTCCCCACTAACCTTCCTTCCTTGCTGTGCACAAGTTCTCGTAAGCCTTTCATATGTGCTCTCATCAGCCCCACCCCATGCTTTATTAAACTTATGGTAAGTTTTCTCTGGTGCACGTTTTTGGGGTGTTAGTGTCTCCTGTCCTGGCTGGGTCAGAACTTGAGGCCTGTGGTCTGCGACTCGCTCATGGTTTGTCTGGCTCAGTGTTACCAAGCTCAGAGCTGATAGTCGCAGAGGGCGCCTGCCTTGTGGTTTGTCAGCCGTACAGGGGTCTTCAGTAGTCAGATAATTCCCTCTTGTGGAAAGAACAGCCACACATTTTTATTTATCTTCTGCCACCAACAGCCATGGGATGACTCTGTACAGCTTCTTGCATTAGTTGTGGGATTTGCTTAAATGGGGGACGCTCAGCACTCCTGTGCCAGCCCCTGTCCTGTCCTAGCTCATAACATAGATTTCATTATTATTCCTTTTGTTTCTCAAAGCTCATGTGCAGTGCAACCCCCAAAAACTAACCAAAAAAATCTAATATAATTAGAAATTTTTAAGAGATGTGCCTTGTGCATAAAATTGAAAGTTGGTGCTAAACCAGCAATTTACACGTTATTGTCCAGGCCTGACAGACTGACTGGGAGTGGAGGATAGTTTCCCCGCATTCTCTTTCCTTGTTTCAAATCTTTCAGAGCTCTGTCTTGCTCTATTCTATTTCATTCTCCATGTTTTGTTTTGTTTTTTTAACTTTTGGAATTAACAGCTACACAAATATTCTTAGAACTTCAAAGTTGCCTTCAAATCAGCACTAGGAAATGTTCCTCGCTGACACTGATGTTGGTCTTTGAAAGAAAGGAAAGTTGGTTTGACTTTTCTGTTTTGGAAAGACAGCATTAAGAGGGATTTGAAAAAGGTATCTGTGGCTTTATTGTTTTTTGTTTGTTTCCTTTTTTTAAAATTTGATTCCCATTACCATTCCTTTGGGCCATGAGGCACATAAACCCCTGTTACTAGTGACACTTTAACACTGTCCCAAGTGAAAAATGACTCCTGATATGTTGCACATGCCCAAGAAAATTGCATCTTACCACCCAGTCTTTGGTTTGTTGATTTGATTTGACTCTGACTTACTGTTTTGCTGTGGTCACATTCTTAAAATCTGTGGCACAATTCATGTATTTCTGTGGGCGGAATGGGGAAGAATGGTTGCCATTATCTTTTATCTCAAGGAAGTTTAATGAGTAAACCAGTGAATTTATATTTACTCTTCCAAAGAAAACTGACATGTTAGGAGTATTAACAAGCCATGGTGGGAGTGGCAGGAATGCATCATAACGCATCGCTTGTCCCAGAGAGCGTAACTCCTTACCTAGGCCTTTCACAGATGTCTCGGTATCCCTGTGAACATCACTTTATCCTTACATATCACTGTGGGCTGTAATTATCCTCATTTGATATTTGAGGAAGCCAAAGGACTTGCTTCAAAATGACTTTGCAAAAACACAAGATTTGAGGTTTAGGTTGTTAACAGCTAATGTTGATCTTGGGCAGTAAAGGAAAATCCCTGACCGTGTATCACACAAATTTAGAAAGGGAGGAATTTGAGCAAGCAATGGGCATTTATGTTATTGAAATAAATTATGTATCAGTTTGCAGGAACAGTTTTCAAATGGGACTACCAAAAACATGAGAACTAGAATATCTTGGTCTCTTTAGGTGCACCTAGTAACTTTAAACACCTGTGCACACCTCAGCTACTCTGTGAAAGAGGACTTCTCATTGCATTTTGTGGGGAGGCTATAGAAGCTTTATAACTTTATTTTCTATGTTCTTAAGTTTTTTTTTTACATTTGAATGTATTAAAATATTATTTTGACACTTTGCTAGTTCTCAGGGATTAAAAGTTAAATTTTTACTGACTGTAGCAGCAGGTAAATCTCTCTTTAAATTTACTCAGGTTTCTATCCTTTGCCTCCATATTTAAGAAAATATAAAATGCCTGCCAGGGAAATAAATAAAAATAAAAATTTCAAATACAAATTTAAAATACCAAACTGTAAATAAATCAATTTTACAAACTAAAATATTGTGTCTTTCCTTGCTTTTTTGTCCCAGATTATCTCCCCTCCTAAGTTAAGGGGTTTTAAATGCCACTTAGCAATACTGTTCCTTCATTTGCAAAAATGAATCCTACAAATAGGACCAAATCATTTACATAAACATGTATTAAACTATTTTCAGTTATTTTGGGGTAAATGTGATAAATTATAAGCAATGTTTACAGACCAGCAGTAAATAAATGTATGGGTAAATTTAGGTTGGGCTAATTTTTTATACTTTTATGTGAAGAAGAATACTCAACTTTCTCTTTCTTTAGAATTCTATTCATTAGAATTTTGCCTAGGGAAGTCTTAAATTAAAAAAGGATACCCAAGAAATAGAACCATATTAACATCCATTGCAGTGACATTCAGTTGCCAAATATTTATTAAATACCTACTACACGCCAAGTTCTGTTGTAGGCACTAGGGGCATATAATGGTGAACAAAGACGTAGTTCCTGTCTGTAGGTAGACTGGTTGGGAAGGCAGGCATTATATAATTATGTGAACAAACATGCAGTTGCAGATGTAGTGAGTGCTGTGAGGAAAAGGTCCTGGTGCAGTGGTGGGGGGTGCTGTCTTGTGTGAGTGCAGGACAGCTTCCCTAGGAAATAAGCAATTCAGCTGAGGGGGAAGAACATTGGCAGGGACCCTGAGGCCAGGAAACAAGCTGAGCAGTGTGGCCCCAGCCCAGAGAGCAAGGGTGCAGTGGTTGGGCACCAGATCGTGCCTAGCTTGTAGGGCTGTTAAACATTTTGGTCTTTATGCTATACACAAGGTGGCAACCAAGGAATTTTTAAGGAAGAAATGCCAGGAACAGATTGGCTCTTTCTGTCTTTAGAAAAAGAGAAGGGTAAGAGTAGATGAGGGAAGAGCAATTTGAGGTGTTTGTACCAGATAGCCAATTGGACCAGAGAGGGAAGGTGGACATTTAAAGCAGATGGATTGAAGGGCCCTTATGATGCAGAAACACAGGCAGAGTCCACAGTAGGCAAGAGGTCCGTTAATTTTTTTTTTTTTTTTTTTTTGTGACGGGGCTGGGTTTGAACCCACCACCTCTGGCATGTGGAGCCGCGCCTTACCCTTTTTGAGCCACAGACGCCGCCCCATTTAATTTTTTTTACAATGAGTTTATCTCAGTATTAAATGCATTTTCAATTTACAACATTTGCAATTTGCCAGGGATTTATCAGCATGTATCCCTGCCCCAAGTCAAGGAAGATCTGTATGAAGATAGAAATAACAGCGGCGTTTCTTTGTGTATGGAAACTGTTGTTGCTATTTTGGTGTCTGCTTTGCTAGGTTGCTTCAAAGGGAGTTACAGTAATTGCATGAAAAAAGAAAGTGTTGAAAGTTAATGCCTTTGGTTACAGAGTATGAAGTATGGTAAGCCGTTTATCTTGTGCTGAAAATGTGAAACCTTTGAGTAATATTTATTCATTCAAACTTTTTTCCAGGAAATTTTGTATTTAATAGGTTGTAAAAACTGTATGTGTGGGCGGCACCCATAGCTCAATGGCTAGGGCTCTGGCCACATACACCAGAGCTGACGGATTTGAACGCAGCCTGGCTTGCTAAAACAACAATGACAATCCGTTGTGGTGGGTGCCTGTAGTCCCAGCTACTTGGAAGGATGAGGCAAAAGAATCGCTTAAGCCCAAGAGTTTGAGGTTGCCGTGAGCTGTGTTGTTACAGCACTCTACTGAGGGTGATATAGTGAGACTTTGTCTCAAAAACAAAGCAAACGAAAAATAAAAACTGTGCGTGTATGGGTGGGGGATGGGGACATGGGCAGCTTGCACAGAGTTCAGCTAAGCCAAATTCCACCCAAAGAGAATTTGTGCTGGGTTGCCCCACTCTGTCCCCTCCTCCTTTCTTTCCTTCCTTCCTAGAAATTAAACATCTAATCTATGTTTTTTTGGAGTTTACCAAAACAAAACAACAACAACAATAATAATCATAAAAGACAGAAAAGAGGCGAAGAAAGGGAAGAGGAGATTGGTGCCTGTCCTTGAAGATTTTATGTTTAATTGGGAAGACAAGATTAAACATTAAACAATTTGCAATCAATGAAAGACAGAAATTCAGAGTAACCACAGGCCATCTGTGTTGCTGCTGGATAAGACTGGCTTCGAAATGGTGGGTCTCTGCCAGGTCTTGAGGACATTCACATTGGTAGAGAAAAAGGGACTGTCTAGGAAAAGAGAATTGCTCTGAGGCATATCTTGTATCATCTGTTCATCTGATTGAGCACCTGTGTGTATACTTTTTGGCATGACACATAGGTTGGGTGAAGAGTGTGCTATCGAGTGAGGAAATGGGAATGATTCTTTTGGAAAGGTGGGCTTTGTCCACCTGCAGTTTCTCAAATGTGTTGTCAGAGTCACCATGCATGTGTGGTCTCTGTCTAGAATGCCTTTCCTGATCTCTGCTTCGTCCTGTGGGACTCAGCTCCAGTGAAACATCACCCCACCCTCAAAGCCATCCTTAACTGAAGGGTGGGCAAGGTCACCCTTAG